AGACTTTCTGATGTCTCCCATTTTCATCCCCACACCTTCACTACCTTCCTAAATGTCAAAGTACTATAACTTCCGCTTTTTTTTGCTTTGCCAGTGTCACTTCACATTCAGCTTGTTTTGAATCCTTTTGCTAACCTTCAGTTTCTTACTGTTTAAATTTTTTATTCTTTACTAGGGGTACACTGATATATCGGTTGACTATTAGATCGGCACCGATAAAAGGAGAATTAATATTATCGGATTCTTTTTGTTGTTGTAGCCAATAATTACCGCCATGTACTTGGAGGACTCTGGTGAGGATAATCCAGTCCCCATGCTCCGCTGCCATCCTGAGCCCGTGGCAGAATACAGGTCCCAGCGAGCAGGGGGAGGGAATGCTGGGGATCGGTCACAGGGCGCCATACTCAGCGACAAAGGGACTATCAACAGCTCCTGCTGCTGCTGCAATGGCAATGCTATGCGCAAGGGCCTGAATACCAGGGCTGCTGCAGAGACAGGCTGTGCGTGGGCAGGGTAAGGTGCCTGGTGAAGGGACATTCTGCTCCGCTAGGTACCAGGTGTGTTTGCAAAAGCAGCTTCTCCCTGGCAACTGTGGGAGCTTGGCTGTGTGGGGTCCGTCAGCACTGAGGCAGTGGCGTGCTCTGGGTCTCCAAATGTGCCCAGCACCATTGTCTGCTCAAGGGTCCACCCTGCCCACTCAGGATAGCAACATAGCCTGAGCGGGGCTGCGGGTAGGAGCTGTGGGTAAGGGGGCAATATGTGGAAATAAAGCTGTCATTGCCTTCCTCATTGGGGCTGGAGCAGGCAGGAGGCAAGCATGTGTGTATATCTGTGTGTTAAGTGCAAAAGAAACAAACTTAATTTATATCAGTAGTTTTAAAATGCCTTGCACTATTACTAAATATCAGTTATCAGATTGGCTGATAATGGTTGCTTAATCATCGGCTATTGGTATTGGCCAAAAAAATCTTTATTGGTGTACCCATATTCTTTTTTCTTTTTCACTATGTATCCTCACTTTTACGCCTTTGCACAACTTTGCTTTGCCTCATGTTTCCTATCTTGCTCTTAATGTCTTTGCCTCTGCTTTCTATGTTTTCTGTAGTTTTTAATTTATCTTGAAATATGTTATATAATCTCTCTCTCTGAAACTTTTCTGAATTTCTTTCTATACTCATTTTGCCTGAAAAAGTGTGTTCACTCATTTGCCTTTGGTACATGTTTCTGAGCTGTGGGACTTGCGCTTACAGGTATGTATAACTGTTGTATTACCTTGCAGCTGCAGTTCATGTCAGTGTAGGTCTGGCATATAACACTGGGCAAAGTGGTAAACTAGTCAAAAAGCACAGACATAAGCAATAAGCAGATGACACATGGTTTTACCTGTTCTTCAGAATATGAGTAACAAAGATTGTCAAGTGCTTGTACAAAAGCAGTACGTGGATAAGGAACAGTTGGTAGAAACTGAATCTGAGCAAATCGAAGGCAACGCTGATGGGCAGGGGAAAGCAGTTTTAAGAGTGCAATCATTGTTCAGTCTCTTTTGGTGAATCAGTCAATTCAGTCTGATTTTAGAGATGCTCTTGAACTTGTTGACACTAAGCTTTCATACTGAAAACATTACCTTTCAGCTACTGTTATAATCTCTGGCTGGTTAGGAGGCTGTAGCACCTTGGCAGACAAGTGCAAGACCTTGCTTATTTACATCTCTGGCAATTCTTGGGTAACTGTTCCCAGGCATGAAGTCTTCAGTCATTTGTAGGGTGACCATATTAGGTTTAAGGAAATCTGGGGCATTGCTCCCCCTTGCCCCCACACAAGTCAGTGCTTGAGGCAGAGGCGGGGCATGCAGGGCACAGTTCAGTGGGGAGGTGGAATGGCATTGCGTGCCTCGTGGGCAGCCAGGCACTGTTGGAGCAGGTGCCACCCTCACCCACACGTGCCCAGCCTGGCTTCTCCTGAGCAGTGGCTGGAGGCTGGGCTGGGCTGAGCACCACTCCAGTCCCCCTGCCTTGCTCCCACACAGCCGCAGCAGTGCTTGTGTGCCTGCTTGTCTGGCGTATCATGGTGCTCTTCCTCTCTGCTGGACTGTGTTTGAGGCCCCTGTGATTGCAGGACTCTTGATTCGATTTTCAACAACTGGTTAGGACACTGGGACAACCCACCAAATCTGGGACTTGCCAGCCAAACTGGGGTGTATAGTCACCCTAGTGCAAGGATGGGCAAAATACAGCCCACAGGCTGGATCCAACCTGCCAAGGGATTTTTGTCCAGACTGCAGGAGGTTCCTTGGCCCCACGCAGGCTGTGGCACATGCGACCAGTCCCACCACCTCCCGGCACTCAGTGGGGCTGGGGTGATACAGTGGCTGGACCTCCCAGCAGTCCCACAGTGGCAACTCCTTACAGATGCCACTGCCAGTCCCTACTGCCACTGCTGGACTTATCCCGTCTGCCCTGCACCCACTGGCCAGGGTGCACAACCAGACAGATGGGATCAAGCTGCAGGCAGAGTGTGGCATCCAGGAATGGGACAGGTGAGTGGAGCCAGGGCTGTGATCAGGATAATGGGGCCATGATAGTGTGGG